CATTTTATTGTGAACAGCCTTGGAAACTATTTGACTGAAGGTGGCACATGAAAGCATACTACATGCATACAAATACAGTTCCTTGTGCCAACTTGATATCTGCTATGAATTCACTAAGTCTTTTAACCTCTATCTGAATCAAGAATTCTGTAAGAATTCATATGGATACTGTAACGTGTTATGCAAATGCTAAGCACGATCATTGCCCTGCTCCTAAACCTTGGTAATTATGGCTGAAAGGCTTAAGACACCACCAACACCCTGCTGCTGACACACCAATTAAGAGTAATGCCCTGAGCTGCTGTTACAAAACAGAGTGAATGTCAAAGGCTGTCCACTACATAGAACTTAAGTGGATGGGCTAGCAGATGGTCTCTGCACAGCTACGGCCTAAAGGAAGCAGCAGCTAATCCAACAACCAACGTGCAGAAAATCCCAAGTACTTTCAGGCCATGGTCAAAGGAAAAGGAAAGCAAAATCCATTAGTGAGAAAGCAATAAACCATAACCAGCAATGGAGTTTGTCCCAATAAATATTCTGAACTATACTGAGTATGGCTACATGTGGTTCTATCAGTAGGTAGTTTTACAGTCTTCTGGTGTTTTTGCAATGCAATTTAGTACAGTGGATTGAGTAACGGGTGATAGTAGTTTGTGTTAGAATTCCTGCTCCATGATTACAGTCATGGGATTTTTATCTATCACATGACAGTATATGTTTTGACTCTACAAAGTGGGAAGTGACAGAGATAGGATGTTCGTGTTACTCTGTTCCGTGAAGTGGGACTATTGTCCTTTGTGCTTTTTCTCTTTGCTGTCTGATGCTAGGGGGGGCATGTTGCAGTGTTTCGTGTGTGTTTATATGTAAATAAAGTAGATTAGCCAAAATGCTGAGTTGCTGGGGTTCTGTTACGCAAACTGCGAAGACTCTGTGGATCCCTAAGTGTGCCGATGTCTGTCGGCGTCGGTCGCTGTGATGTTCAGGCTGAAGAAAGCTTTTGAAGCTCCCAAACGATCGACCAGGAGGGAGAGAACATGCCAGTCAGGCATGTGTCTCTGCCAGGGTCCTACTCGAGTGTAGGACAAGCTCCTGACATTTTGATGCCTGAGAGGGAAATATTGGAGTGGCAGGATGGATGGCGTGTTTGTGTGCATTGCTGGAAATGTGTGAAGTATTGGAAGGAAGGGAGCTAGATGAGCTAGTGGGTACTATGTGATATGTGTCTGTGTAGAATCAATTATTTGAGTTGGAAGTAGATACAAGGCAGAATGATAGGATCACAGAATTGCAGGGTCACCTAGTCCAACCCCTGCAATGCAGGAATCTCAACTAGATCATACAGGACAAATGGCCATCCAAGCTCTGGTTAAAACCCTCCAAGGAAGGAGAGTCCATCACTTCTCGTGGGAGTCTGTTTCACTGTTGAGAAGCTATTAATGGTCAGAAAGTTCACCCTAAAGAATTGGGTGAGGTGTGTATGTGTGAGTGGGGTGAGTGCTGCATAATATGAGTTAGGATTTGTCTTGGCAAGAGAGAAAGAATAGAGCACTTATCCTGTTGGTTATAGGTAAGAAATGGTATGATGATCATGGGGAGGGGTATGGTTGGAGAACAGTGGGGATGAGATGGCTGTGGACTATCTAATCCTGCATACACCTTACAGGTGACCAGGCTGCTAAGTGAGTTCCCTGACTCTTGAGGGTTTATCAATGTGTGCTGTTATGCTTTTGTTTTTTGAATATTTTATTGTTTCATCTGAAACTGTAGTATTTTAGTTTCATTCTAAACTCTTAGAGACTGTTCTAGTATTAAGTGAAATAGCAACTTATTTCTGGTCATCCACAAGTATTCTGGGCCAGAACACTTCCCATTCATTAGCTAAACTGGCCAAATATTCACCATGTTTGGGGTGAAGCTGCTCCACTGCTCCTATCTCTCACCTTAAGAGATTACCACAAAGAGGGAGGTATCAATTGACTTTTTTTAAAAAAAAATAAGTCTATCAATAGATTGTACATAGTGCTAATATATCCATACCTGTATTCTGCTCCCTCTTCCTTTCCTGAATTCCCAGATGGTATGTTATTACAAAGAATACACCAACAACTAGACTAGATTGTAACTTCCCTCCTTTCCCAGCGCAAAATCTGATATTTATCATGTCTGAGACAATGATAAACAAGACAATGTAAAGCATTATGGATCACGATACCTGTTTCATTGACTCTTACTGATAAAACACTGAAAGAGGGAGGGAAACAGTGATAAGAGATGAATATATGAGATGAAATAAAACTATTTTATGCCCCTTGAAGCAGAGTTCTTTTCAGAATCAAGATGACGCATTTCCTAGGGCTCCACCAAATGCCCAAAGGGAAGGAAAATGTATGTTCATCATTGAAAAGTAATGATTAATGGTGATTATGGTGATTAAGGCTGAATAATAGGTCCTGGATATTTTTGGGATTCTCATCCCACTCCCAGCTCTTCAGCAGATGACAAATGTAGCACACAGCTGCAATGCTATTTAGATGCCTTCCATTTGCAGAATTAGGAGCTAATGTTAAGCAGCTGTAAACTTCCATAGATTTATGGGTGCTCGACATCTCTATAAAAAAATTATAAAAAATCAGGTATTTTGGTATTTTAGATCCTTGAATGATAATTTAGTACCCAGAGGCTTTGTATATCTGCATCTGTTTCTGTCTCCTTCCCACTCTCTGCATTTTAAAATACATTGTTATTTCAAAACTCCAAAGATGAATTAGAAAATAGATGAATGACTAATAATGAATGAGTCTATCTCTTCTTTTTGTCAAAATCAGGTGAAATGGTAGAAGTACTAAATCAGTGTCTGGCCACGGTAATGGACTAGATGACAACCAACAAGCTGAAGTTTGATTCAGACAAGAGAAAGGTACTGTGGGAAGGTGACATGACTTCACCATGCAGTGGTTGTCATGCAGTGCTACATGTGGCTGTAGTCCCACTGAAGGAACAGAATCACAGCTTGAAGACACTTCTTGGTCCACCTTTGTTGCTACAGCCACAAACTACTTCTGTAGCATAAAGTGCCTTTTACCAGCCAGGGTGGGGCACCAGCTGCGATCCTACCCAAACAAAGTTAGCCTAACAGGTATTGATGTTCTGGTGACCTTCAGGTTAGACTACTGTGATACACTACATGGGACCTGTCTATGAAGGATGTTTGGAAGCTGCACCCATAGATGTTCCAGCTGCTTTCTTATTAGCTGTAACTGGGTTTTATGATCACACTGCCAAAAGTGGCCAACATGATGGAGTGGGAGTGTTGAGCTCCTCCACAACAATATAAGCATCCCTGCCACTTACGGTACTGTTTTAGTGCAGGATCTGGGCAGGATGGCAGCAAGAGCTGGGCTACACAGGCACCCCAGCAGAGCCAATTGGGTGTTAGCACAGCCAGTATACTTGCACAGCCCCATCCTCACTGTGCCCTGTGGCATCCCACCGAGGAAAATGGCAATGATGTTGCTGTCAGAAAGATGCTTCCCACTCCTACATATCACACTTGTGTTTGATCAACTGCCCTGCTTCCCAGTCTGTTATGATGCTCAGTTCTAAGTGGTTTTGACCTTCAAAGCCTTTCATAGCTTTGGAACACAGTATTTGAAAGGTCACTTCTATTTAATCCTGCTGATTCTTTTTTATGCGGTTTTTTAATTTTGTGACTTTTAGCTTTCCCCCCTGTTTATATATGAATGGTTTTAGCCCTTTTTCAAAAAAAAGGAATTTCCCTGGGAATATGACTGCAAATACTGCAGTTACAAAATAATATAACACATTTATTTCCATAGTCAGCATATTTTACAGATGGACATCAAAAAGTATGTCAATATCAAAGAAGCAAAAAAGTAGCCAAACTAAAGATTGCTAATAATGCTTAATCAGCTCAGTCATGCTGACTTAGTGGGGAGTGGAGCTGAAATAGATTTCAATCTTAGCTGAATTTCACAGCATATACATTGAACTTTAAAGTGGACTTAAACTGGGGAGGTGTTGCATATAAGATTGGCACATGCACCAAGCCCCTGACCTTCCCACATTGTGAAGGAAGGTCTGCAGGGAACCCGATCATACTTTTTGCTGAATGCTTAAAACCTTCCCTGTGATTGGAAACTTTCCGAAACAATATGAGAACAAAAATATTGCCATATTTCCAAATTCACACTTCTCTGAATTTTGCAGTGCAGTTCTTAAGCCAAGTAATGCATACTAGCATGCATATGCTTGGGTAAAGTGTGCACAAAAATGCTTATGTTAGTGGAAATAGCATATGAAAAAAATTGTATACAGTGGTACCTTGGGTTAAGTACTTAATTCGTTCCGGAGGTCTGTTCTTAACCTGAAACTGTTCTTAACCTGAAGCACCACTTTAGCTAATCGGGCCTCCTGCTGCTGCTGCGCCGCCGGAGCACAATTTCTGTTCTCATCCTGAAGCAAAGTTCTTAACCTGAAGCACTATTTCTGGGTTAGCGGAGTCTGTAACCTGAAGCGTATGTAACCTGAGGTACCACTGTACTAAAAAATGCTATATACGACTGCATGCAGATAAATGTATATAAGGAAACTGGAACTAAAATGCTGATGAATTTTCATGAGGACTTTAAAAAAAATCGCAAACTGATGTGGAAATGTGGATAACCAAACTTAAGATTGGGAAAATGAGAAACTCTGACCCCATTTGTGCTATACACTTAAAAAACACCTGAAGCAAGATGCCTCAGAGCAGCAACCTCAAATGTGGAGTCACCCTGAGAGGGCAGGCGAGAAGCTGCCACCCAAAGCAACAAGATGAGCAGCAGCACCATCACCCGCCACGCCATCATGCTTCCCCCTCACAGGCAGAGCTGCCACTTCCCGCGCCTTGGCACTCACTGCTGCCTGGTGTTTCCTCCACCTAAACCCAGAGGCTGCAGCACCTAAACCACCCAGTGGTTGCAGTACACTCCTCTACTCACCAATAGGCCATTCTTTTCCTTTTCGTCTTCTTCAAGGCAGCCCTGGGCCATGTAGAGGAGTGTGCTGCCACTATCCAGGAGCATGCTGCTGGAGTTGAAGAGGAGGAAGCGGCAAGCATCCAGCCCTATTTTAGGTGATACTTCTTCTGCCACCGCCAGCTCAAATGGTTCAGGATCAGAAGGCAGACACCAGGCAAACATATAGAGATCTAGGGTGTGAGTATACAAAATACTTAACACCTATTAGCAGGGGCCAGCAACCTTTTTCAGCTGTGGGCCGGTTAACTGTCCCTCAGACCATGCAGTGGACTATTTTTTGGGGGGGGGGTGAATGAATTGCTATGCCCCGCAAATAACCCAGAGATGCATTTGAAATAAAAGGACACATTCTGCTCATGTAAAAACACCAATTCCTGGACCCTCCGCAGGCTGGATTGAGAAGGCAATTGGGCCGCATCTGGCCCCCGGACCTTAGGTTGCCTACCCCTGCCTATTAGTCAACAAAAGGGAAATTATGCAGAAGTGAAATAACCTGTCTTTCCTAGGACTAAAACCAGTCACAAACCCCATGCAATGTTTATGAAGCTTTATAACCACTTGCTCAAACCTCATCATGAGGGCTTCTCTCCAGAGCCCTGCAGTCAGTGTTTGTGTAGTGGTGAGCTGAGCATATTCAGTAAACTACAAGGCTCAAGACAATCTGTGAGGGCTTGGTTTTGGCAGCTAATGCAGCTATATAAAGCAAACTGGAAAAATGTCTGCAACCCTCTAGGAGAAATGGAGAGTAAGTTACTTGGTAGTGCTAAGGGACAAGACATACTTCCAGAGAGAGACAGAGAGAGAATTAGAATTACAAAAGCTGTTTTTTATTTGTTATATTAAAAATATTCTATTTGTTATGGCCAAATAAAAACCTGTCATATAGGAACACTGAAGTGATTGTAAGTTTAGAACACCCATTTTCATTTTCAATCCCGCTTTGAGAGGTAATGATCTTAAAAATTTATAGGTAAGATTAAACATTTGATATTGCTTCAAACATTTTATTTCCAACTTTGTAGAGCTCCTGGGAATCCTCTGTGTTATTCTTCCACAATATGAAGTAAAGCACATTTCCTCATGCACACTTGGGAAAGATTTTTGGGTGTGATGAAGTTTACAGATTATATCTGTTGCAGATATGATGACTTTATTGTGGAATCAATTGAGATAACAATGAATCCTGCATAACATGCATAGATCTTGCAAGAATGTCAAGTGCAATGTTCCACTTGGATACATATATTGGATGAAATGCAAGCCCAAGTAATAAATACAGCTTAAAGGTATACATTATGGTTATAATAAAACTTCAGAGCCTTGCACTAAACAAATATTACTTAAGGAAAGGCTCACACACTGAAGGTTTATTTGCAAGGTTTTTCCCCCTGTAGCATTTACTGTGTAGTTCATTTGAAAAATATTCATGACATTCAAAAATATAAGGTCACTTCCATTAAGAAACTTTTGTTTTGCTTTGTTTCTGGCTTGTATTGGACTGGCTCATATTATCTCCCAAAAAGGGGGGATTTCCAATTCAATCCAAATTTTTAATGAATATATCAGTATCTCCAATGATCTCAACAGGGATAGTTAGAGGCTACAGCCCCAAATTGACTAGAATCTGTGAAAACACTAGTCCCCAAAGACTGAATGTGGTATGTTTCTTCTGCTCACCACTCACTAACCAGTTGGGAGTTGGCTAGGTGTATGGATAAGCGTAGAAGTATTTGTTGCCAGTATTTTTATCTCAGGGCATCATTTGGGACTGATTGCTAGGATATGATAATCTTCATAATCATATTTCACTCACCGAGTTCTAAGGGACATTCTGCCCCCCAGCAAACACGGTGTAAATTATGTTGGCTCTCTGCCTGAAACTATGGACTGGTATGGGAATTGATTGCTTGTTGCCTTTCCATGAATGGGAAAGGCATGAATGGTGATTTTTAGTAGAAGAGTGGTCAGATGGGATCAGTCAAGCAGCCCCTTCTGCACTCATATTATAATGGAAGCGCAAAAAATCTCATGTCCAATTAAATGCAATTACTAAAATACCCAGAGACTAAAACTAAGTACATATATGTCTCATTTTAACTAAAACCTATACATGTAAAAATCCAATATTGTTGTCTATATACTTGCAATATTCCTTAACATGAAATTCTGCATGTCTACTCAAAAGTAAGCCACAATGAGTTCCAAGGTTTTAGTCCCTGTTAGCATGTATAAGATTTTAGCCTAAAAGTTTCTCAACAGGAAACCAGTCTGATAGCCCATTTCACTGCAAAACCCTAATCATGAGGATTAAGAGTGATTTATCTTACTACAGAGACATACAAAGATGGTACAATTCTGTAATGTAGCTCTGAAGTGTCACCTTATCACTTTTTAAACCATTAACAACCTAAAATTCTGTTTTATCTTATGTGGTGCACATGCCTTATCTGGGAGAGAGAGAAAACACCCTTTGATAAAATGTATTTTTTAGCAATAAATACATTGTACCATCCTGAACAAATACATATTAATCTTAACACGTTTCCCCTACTATTAATTCATACTGATTTTTAAAAGATTATCTTAAGTGTTGCAAAATTCATTATCACCTCAATTCATAAACTGCTAGCAAGAAGTTCCTCTTTTGAATACAGTATTTGTTTCACTTTACATTTTCATTCTTTGCATTTTTCTTTAAATATGCAGCAAGGCAGAATAGATTTAAATTATGGAATAATAATTCACATAAACTTGTGCATGAGCCATAATTCAACCTTTGCCATTTTTATTATGTAGTTAGTATGCCAAAGTAATATTTATGATCTGATTTCTGCACCTAAGTAAGCTCTTGAATTCTCTGACAAAAGCAGATATATGTTCATATTCACTGTGGCTTCTAATCCACAGACCTCCACAGCAACAGGCTGCAAGTGCATTGATGCACACACAAACATCCAGGAGTGTCAGCCTAGCGGGGCAGGGGAATAGAGTCACCCTCCTGCTAGTGGGGTCACTGCCACTTGCCGGAATGGGTGGGAAGCAAGATGGTGGCTGTGCAAGAACACTGATGGGAGCACCAGATTGGCTCTGCCAATGCGCCCTTCCAACCTGCCCTTGCTGTTGCCCAACCTTCTCTCCCATCGCAGTTGTTGTTGGGATAGCAGCATTGCACCACTGCATCACCACTCCAGACACTCCTGCAAACATCTCTTAATTATTATTTTTATTCACTCTATTTTCATACTACTGAAGTTTCTAAGTGCCATGTTCATGGGGTGGTGAGTGTTGGCTTTCACCAGGGGTTGGCAAAATTTTTTAGCCATGGGCCAGTCCACTGTCCCTCAGACCTTGTGGTGGGCTGTAGAAGCGGCACCGGGGGGGCTGGAAGAAGAGGTGAGGGGAGCATGTATTCCTCCTCCCCACACCACCCCCAGCCCCAACCTCTGCTCTTCCCTTCACAGGGGCTGCCACTGCCGTCGCTGCTTCTCGTGGGTAGGCAGAGCGAGCTCATCCACTCCGCTCTCTGGCCCACAGGAGCACCAGGGCAGCAGCAGCAGCGGCAGAGGGAAGATGAGTGGCGCGAAAGGGCTGGCTCCGGAGAGGGGCTGCTTAAAATTGCACTCAGCCAGCTCCCTTCCTCCTCTAGGCAGGGCGGGGAGAAGCCAGGAGGAGGGAGGGAGGAGGCACCGCTACAGTGTGTGTGAGGGAGGGGGGGAAATGGAATGGCGCAGAGAAAAAATTGTGCAGCCCGAATGAACAGAGTCCCTACGCCAATCCATGGACAGTCCACGGGATCCATGGACAGTCCACGGGCAGGATCCTGAAGGCAATTGCGCCTGATCCAGGCCACGGGCCATAGTTTGCTGACCCCTGGCTTTGACAGTACCATTCCTCTTTTGGATTTAAGGAGTATAGTCTCTGGATTCAACTTCCTTTCTCCCAATTGTGTACTGAAAGAAAGCAGTCTGATATTCTGTTAGGGGAGTGATCTTTAATAGGTAGATGGCAGTCACAAGGACCGTAGCATCCACAGCAACTTCAGGTGTGCTGTGACAACAGCATCAACACCATGTCCTTTCTTCACTGAGGGATTTTTTAAATAAGGGTTTTCACTTTTACTCATCTATGCACTTTTCTCCTAGATTGGCCTTTTCTGATCTTGAACCTAGGTAGGAAAACAAACATCAGAAATAAGAGAGCTAGGGAAGGATGTAGGTGAGGGGACATCTCCTCCCAGCTAAATACCTCATTTCTTGTAAAACACAGACCTCCCACTACACACACCACAATTTTATTTGTGAATGGGGAAGGCTCATGAATAAACAGTGCCTGCTGCCATCCAGCCTGATCTGACCCTGAAAATGGAAGTACATTCTTTTGTATAATTTCCAAGGAATGAAACAGTATCCCCTCCCTCCTAGTCTCTTTATGAAACTGAAACTTAAATATTAGCATGTAAGAATTGCTCATCGGGGTGGGGGAAAATGAGGTTTTATTTTAGGAACTTTTAATGGGAACAGAAATGTTGCATTATGAAGTACTGCACTCTCTAGTTATTTCAGGGTGCAAGTAAATGCTAAATTTAAATTTCAGTGAAAGGAATTAATGAATATTTCTCCTACTTACGCAACTCAGACAAAAACCTGTTAGCACATTTGGATTAATTACATACCAAGAAGACTGGGTTAAATAAACCACAATTCATCTGCTTTAAATGCTTCTCTCTATATAATCACAGTATGCTCATGAAATATTTCAGGGCAGAATGTTTGTTTTACATTTCCTGAATCACAGGTAGCTTTCAAAATAACACAAGTCTCTACAGAATAAGCAGCTCCTTAACAATGATGTAGTTTAAGCTTTTGTTATACGGTATATTTGTACTGAAAAAAGAAGTTGAGTGCAGTTTAAAAAATACAGATGGTTTTAGCATTTCACAGTTTTATATATTTTTAGAAATAAGTAACTGATGTTTCTTGGAAAAGGTGGTGTTTGGATTCACAAAAGAATGAATGACTGAAGATTATGAAGTGGCTTTTATCAGTTGACAATGTGTAATACATCACTTTCTTCAGGTAGTCTTTCAGGGGTACCCTCTTTAGGGGGGAACATGTACTATGTCACTTTCCTCAAAGAGTGATAAGCTAGCCCTATTGCATTTA